CTGGTTACCTTCCAAACATACAGGAGACCAGCACTGGGTTTTGGCATTCAAGATCTGAACCTAGCTGAGTCCCAGATGTTGAGAACGTTGGACGAGTGAAGGAGTAGATGGGAGTTCTTTAAATCTTTTATCTGTTTGTCTCTCTGTCTTCCCTTGTCTCTCCAAATTTAAAAGCATTGAAAATTTAAATTAGGGAAATAAGTGAAAGACAACTTGAATTAATAAAGTCCAATAGGCAGGGACATGGCGTCCTGCACACACTCCAGCCAGATCATCATGGACTCAATTGTAGCCATGCCCTTCCTCCAGTTCCTGAGTTGCTTCATGGAAGGAGGCATGGACTCACATGTTGTCTTCTATTTCTGCTCAAGATGTCATGCAAAACCTTTTCAACGTCCCTAGGTCTTTTTATGACTCACTGTTTCCTTATCCTGATTTCTTCTCTACTGAATGTTTTTGCAGAGAAGACACTACAGCCTCTGACTTAAAATCCTGTGTTCTAATTTCCTTCATAATCTTTATGAACTTAGTCACTACAAAGTTTCATTATGATGATGGCGTGTTTCTTCCTTTTGTCTTCCCTTGCCTTTTAAATTAGTCATTGTGCTCAGAATTATAATGATTATAATAATCACTACTATGCCTGAGTCTCTGCCTCCAACGCTGAGTCTAATATAAATAATCCTGAATTATAGTCCTAGTGCATTTCATTTGAATGACTACTTTCCTCCTTATTCATTAACTTTTAGAAAAAATTTTTTATAAAATCTCAAAAAGAAATTTTCTTTGCTCAATTTATTTCACTTACTGGAAAGACAAAATTTCAGATAGAGACTGTCTTCCACCTGCTAGCTAACTCCTCAGATGGCTGCAAAGGTCAGGTGGCAGACATGAATCAGGAACTTCCCCCAGCTTTCCTACATGAGCACAGGGGTATATCCTTCTCTGCTCGCCATGTACATTAGCAGGCAGCTAAACTGGAGGTTGAATAACTGCAGTTTGAACTGACACCCATGTGGGATTCCAGCATTGCTGATAATGGCTTAAGCCACTATGCTACAAGGCTGACTCCAGCTTCTAGAAATTTTCAATGTGAAATAACTCGGCTATTTTCTGAAAGTTGTCGTTAAGTTCCTTCCCACCTTCATGTTGTTTCCTAAATATTGGTGTTTCTGGGGATTCAAGATTAATCTATGAGAAATAACTAATCCAGGAAATCCAGGATTACTAGATCGAGCATAACTACACTAATTTAGGCTTCATCGTGAAGGGACTGCTCTTCCAGAGGCCCAACTGCCTGAAATTTTTGATGAAGAAAGCAGTGAATATTTCCCCAGGTCAAGAGGACAGAGCTCAGAGGTGCTCTTCGCAGTCAGCTGTGCCTGGCACACACCTCTCCACCAGCTCCAGTAAAAGCAGAGATAGCTGATCCAGACAATAGCAGCAATCTTTGCCCTAGTGTCACTGGAGCCACTGAGGCTGAAGCTCACCCTGCTGACATCAGGAAAGCACATCCACAAAAATGGAAGGACCAAGCCTTTTGGTAATATATGTAATGCAAATGCCCTAAACTCTCCATTCAAAGATGCTGACTGGGTCAGGCAAGGTAGCCTAGGGCTAAATCCTTGCCTTACATGTGTCAGAATCCCATATCGGTGCTGGTTTGTGTCCTGGCTGCTCCTCTTCCCTTCCAGTTCCATGCGTGTGGCCTGGGAGTGCAGTAGAGGATTGCCCAAAGCTTTGGGACCATGCATCCAATGGGAGGCCCAGAAGAAGCTCCTGGCTCCTGGCTTTGGATCAATCAGCCCTGGCCGTTGCGGTCACTTGGGGAGTGAAACAGCAGATGGAAAATCTTTCCGTGTCCTTATGTCTCTGCATATCTGCTTTTCCAATAAAAATAAAAAGGTCTCAAAGAAAAAATGCAGTCTGCCTAAATGGATGTAAAAGATTCCTCTATTTGCTGCCTACAAGAAACACACCTTATCAAAAATACACAATGGAGCAGAAGTTAAAGGTTAGAGTAACATAGTCCATACCAATGGAAAATCAAACATGTTCAGCTTTGACCATTGTAACATCAGACAAAATAGTCGTTAACATAAAAGCTACTAAAATGGATTAAAAAGACATCATCTAATGATTAAGGGATGACCACTATGAGGGTATTTGTACCCAATATCTAGCTATTTATAACAATTATTAACAGACCTAAAAGGAGGCATAGTTACCAACAATACGTTTTCAAAAATGGACAGATCTACTAGATAGAAAATCAACAAATAAACAACAGAGCTCATTTATACTATGGACCAAATTACCCTAACAGTTAGTGAATACCTTCTGCACTTAATATAGTGAAAGCTGAGCTAAACCTTAGGATGGCAACTGCAAACTGATGCACTGTTTTGTTATTATTTGCCTGGAACAACAGTTAACCAGAAATACTGACATAAAATCATACTTCTTCTTAAACATAGTAGATAAATTTCCATTTGGCAAAATTTTCAACCCATAGAATGTATCCTTCATTCTCAGTTGTGTTGAGTCAACTTTATTAGACATCAACTCCATCATACATTCCTTAGTTACACCATGTTTGGCCCAGGTCAGTGTCTTGATATATTTTCTTCCTTTATCTCAGGATGCTCACCCTTGCATCTTTTATATTCTGCCCAATCATTCCTCAAAATCAGACAGAATCAAATGCCTTAGACTGTATTCCCTAGTAGCAATATCTGGAACTATTTGTGAAGATTGTTAATTACTGGTCCAGGAATCTATTTCACATTATGTTAATGTGAATCTATTTCACATTATGTTAGTGCCTGTCTACTTCTAGACATTGGAAACGCTGTTCACATAGCGAGTGCCTGATATGAGGGCTTGATCATGTCTGGGTAACTCACGGAACAATGAAGTTAGCATATGAGACATATAATAGATATATAAACTTATAGTTATCGTTATATAGTAATATTGTGACATATAGTTACATAATTTAAAAAAATTAAAAGCATTGAATTTTCATTATAACATTTTGATCTAGGTTTGACATTCTGAAAATGAGAACACACTTGCTAGAAACAATAGCATATCATATATATGCAAATATTCAAACACTTCATGTTCTTGTTAGGCACCCCTTTGGGTAGGATTCAAAACAATTTCATATGTAACGAGAGGCAACTATAAAATTATGAACAGTAAAACATGAGATCATAAGTAATACAAATAGAAAAGCTACAGAGCACGAATGTCTATTAGATAGATATAGACAGAAAGATGATAGGTTCACTTTAATACATAACATGTGTGTGTGTGTGTGTGTGTGTGTGTGTGTAATTTAATTAGGATTACATTTCTCAGCCCTTGCTCTCAGCATATTCCACAGTCAACTCACTCAGCATGCTTGATAAAATGACAAATCTCTACCCCACTGTAGTGTTATTGTATCAAAGTATGTGAATCCAGATTCTAAAGATCTCAGTTTCTTCTTCTTTCCAAGCTGAAACCGAGCAACATACAAAAACCGATACTATATTCAGAGTTAGTTAGAAACTCATTTCTGTCAGCACTCTGAGTTATTTTTAAAAGAACTTCAGCATAATATATTCAAAAAGAGTAGTATTTTTTCCCAATAACAAATTGTAATGAATTTTTTTAAAATGGGAAGAAAGTTAATGGTTGTTCTGAAACGGACTTGATGAATTCCCAAATATAAAGCAAAAGTATGTCTCTGAACGTGTACCACCAACTCAATGGCGATTTTACACTAGTTAAGAAAAGTTTCTTAGTATTACAGATTAAAAAAAACGAGTACTAGCATTATTAACAAAACAGGCATTCATGAAAAAACTTATTATCTGAAGTTCTGAGATCCATTGAATTAACATGATTTTTCTGAAAACATACAAATTGTATTCATTATTCTTTTATTTATGTATAATTTTGAGGAGAAAAAGTGTAACATAATTCATGTATGAATTGGAAAAAATCTGAGAAAGCAAAGTGATAAATAGTTTGCCAATATAAAGGACTGATAGAAATATAATCAGAGGACAAGTAAACAGAATGGAAGTAAATAGACCATTATTTATAAAATAGAATAAAAGACGTGGAAGAGATCAAGAAATGCTGACAGACACAGGAAGAGCAAAACTTTTCTCAATGATTGGATGTCAAGCTAGAATATAAAGATATTGTAAAAACAAAATCTCACTTAAGAATCTTTTTTCTATTTCTATACCTTTCAAAAGTATTAAATAATTCTCTCTTTTAGTAACAGGATTATAAGAATTGAAGCTATATGTTTATAAAAGAATAACTTATTATTTTGGAAGCTTGTGTCTTCAATTTGTGTTCAGATTAAATATGCAAGAGATATGACTTTTATTTTTATTCCCTTATAGATTACAGACCAACTGTAATCGCTCTTTATAATACATCTGGAGGACTGTAAAATCAGAACAGTACAGCTTTGAAAAACGCTCCCAATTGAGTCATCAGATGCTTGTTCATAACACTCCAATATTGCTGACAAATTATTAGGGAATTTTACTAGTAGTTTTTATAGAAATGATTTAGCTTTATTACTGAATATCATTGATGTCATATAGACCATCCCTGGTGCGTTTACAGACTCCCCAGCATGTGATTTTGATGACAGCTTCATTATTTATGTTTTAGTTAAAGTGCATGACATTTACCGTCACTGGAATTGTTCATTAAGATTTGCATAAAGACAACACACAAGCAAATGTAAGGGTACATTGTTAGTGTGTTTCACATCTGTTCATTCTTCCTTAAAAACACATTTCCTACAAAGGATAAGAAGAGTTTACCCAACAATTACTGAAATGCACAGATAGCACAAAGAGAGAGAAAGAGAGAGAAAGACTTCAATATTTTAATGACCCAGCAGCACAGACTAAATTTTTGCCAAATGTCAACTATTGAAAGACGGGTGAGTGCACTGAAAAATCAAAGTATTTTCTTTTTACCTTCTTTAAGGAAAGGATTCCTTCTCTGGTCTCTTTGTCAGTAGAGATGGAGAAAACCCCAACACCATCACCATTTACGATGGAATATGTCATGTCGGCATTAGAACCTGTATCAGCGTCATTCGCCTTGATCTTCCCAACTGCTGAGCCAACTTGAGCTGACTCAGGGACATAGAGTTCATAATGCTCTGAAAAACATTTCATATGAAACATTGATAACACTCATAAAAAATCAATATATATTTCCCCTCTGCTTTCAAGTGAACATTAGATTAAGCTGTGCATAATAGGAATTCTATTTTAAATATCAATATTAAGATAATATTTTATGATGAAATAATGCATTTCTACAAATGTCAGGATACATGTAAAATAAGTGTAAACAAATTCTATAACTGAATATGCAATATTTACTAGCTGTACAATTTTTGGAAATAGAAAAATAGATGAGAGATCTATCAAGTTTGCATTGCTATCTTAAATAAAAACTCAATTATTGATTATCATATCAGTTCTCTTTCAAGCAGCACATGGAGTTCATATACATTAGTTTAAGAATTTAGAATACAACAAGAAACCAAAGCAGAAAGGGGAAGAGCCTACATAGTTCATCATCATGCTAACATATCTGTATAGTTATATACAATCTGTCTTGTTTGTGAGAATGTAAAATAGCACAAAAGCTGTGGAATACAGTATAGTGATTCCTCAAAAACTAAACATAGAACAATAGTTCTATCCAGCAGTTCTAGTACTGGGTGTATACCAAGGCATCAAAAATGGGATTTACAGGAAATTCTTGAACATCATTGCTCTCAGTTGTATTGTTCATTGTAGTCAAATACGGACTCACACTATACATCCACCATTAGATGAATGATACATAAAATTAGTTTTAGATGTGAAACATGATAACATTGAATAGGTATTAATTCCAGATAGGTGTTTACAATATGCGTGGATTTAAAATCCTCTCCTACATGATGTAGGCTAGACATTATTGAAAATGTATGCATGTAAATCTATGAAATACCTAAAATATTTCAGTTTATATGTATCAGAACTCAATTAACAGTCACCAAAGACAAGGCAATTGAAGGGAGAGTTAGTATGAAATGAATAGTTCCAATTTTCTAAACAAAAAACATTGCAGAAACAGAAGTTAGCAGTGCTTGTGTGACAGGGTGAACATGTGCAATGTCACTAAAACACACACAGAGACACAGAGTGAGGATAAATGAAGTCAAGATATTACCAACTATTACTTGAAACTTTGTTTAGAACTGGGAACATTCGGAAGAGAGCATCATGAATGTGGGAACTCTCCAGAGGTATTTAATATTACTGCGCCAAGCTAATTTCTTCAGAATAATAGAGATGTACCAATTTTGTATATAACAGAATTTCTGAGATACATGCTACAATGTGTATTGTTAAACTTTGTAGTCAACTTATTATAATGTGCTATTAAGATTCATTTTCCTAATATAGGTGCTCACTTTTTAAGGTAAAGCCTCTTTCATTGGCACATTTTTCATTTTTACCACTTCGATGGGGGTATAGTCATCATTTTTTGTTTCAGGACTACATAATTTAACAACAAATAGAAACGTAAATCTCATTATATTTTTCCTCCTGGATGTGCTATAATTTCATATCCTTATGTGATCCTTTCAGCATTATTTCTTAGACTGCATAATAAAATGCTACTGATTATCTAAACCACGGTTAAGAAATGAAGGTTTGACAAGAATAATGAAAGGGCGTTTGGTTCACTGGAGCTTGTCGCTTTCACTACACCGTTTTCCCAGGACAGTATTGGCTCTAATTGCTTTTTAAAAGAACTTGTGTTTTTGCTTCAGTAACTTTTCCAGGTGAGCAAATAAGTCATTCCTTAAGATTAACCTAATATTCCAACCTATAAAAAACTGCCTGTTAAATTTACTCAAAAATTCAAATATTCTTAACACAAATGTTATTAGTGAAAGCGAAAGGCCAATATGTGTGTTTGTAGATGCTTCTCAGGTTAAACTATGAGCTCTGACTTAGCCAGTTTATCAATTTCAATCAGACTGGTAAATTTTTAAATAATTGCTTAATCAATTTATATGGATATTTATGCTGGAAATGCTTTATATTCATATGTGAGCATTTTCATGTATTCATTTCATATATGTGAAATATATTTATGTATTTATAAATGATCTTCAATTTTCTTCTATTTAAGACCTATGGAATATTGATAACTCAGCAATTTGTGAGGACATGCATGCAGTATTTTTAATCCAAGGATAAGATAAATACTGCAGTTACACAAAGACTACACATACACACGGAATTTATACTATGTTCTCTAGAAGAGCATTTATAAAATGCCCAACCCGTTCTATTCTGCTGCTATGAGTAAATATGCACTACAGTGTAGCTTAGTTTGCCCTTATACTGGTTTTATTCAAAGCACTGTTAAAATATATTCTATCTTTTCATGATAAAAATGACTCTGACATGCTGGAAAAATGACTGCAAGTACCTACTTTTTAAGTATCTTGATATGCCTCTTTACAGAAGAAGAGTGATGAAGGAGGAAGAGTGAACACACACACACACACACACACACACACACACACACACACACACACACGCCTCTTCACTCCCTACACAGCTGGTGCTCAGCCAGGCTGACACTGGAAGGCAGTACGCTTACTGCAGTGAGCCCATTATGGGGGCAATTGCTGGACTTGTTGCAGGTGAAGCCCCTACTCCCTAAAAACTCAGCATTCAGGAGGCGACAAAGCATTTCAAGCCTATACAATTTCCTGTGATACGTCTCCTGTGAGAGATCTCAAGCTAACATAAGGAAAATATCCTTAAATGTGCACATGAAAAATATCAACTGACATATAAAGGAATGCTGATTAAACTCACAGGAGACCTGTCACATTGTCTTTTTTAAAAATGAAAGTTATTAATGATGGATGATGTGGCTGATAGTTGGTATGTCCATGGCCATACTAGACTGCTTGGGTTTGAGAACCAGCTCTGCTGTCCAGGCTCATGCATGTGCTGATGTGAACTCTGGAACACGGCAGGTGACGGCTGCTGCATCCTGCCCGGGAAATCTGAATTGAGTCCTCAACTCCCAGTTCCAGGCTAGACCACGCAACCCATTGGAAGCATTGGGCGGTGAACCAGTGTAAGATACTGCCAATCTCCTACACTGTCTGCCAGAAATAAATTTTGTAAAAGGAAAACAAAATATTTGAAAATATTTTAATTACATGCTGCTAATGTGTAATAAATAACGAAAATATGTAGATAAGCAAGTGGAAGTCAATGATCTGTGTTCAAGTGATGGAGTAAAAATTATAGAACCGAGGATGCCAGTGCTAAACTGCAGAATTAATAGATATCAGTCACTGAAAATAGTTGGAGACTACACACAGCAGAGAACTGAATTGTTGCATTGTAACAAAAAATTACTGAAAATATCCAGGTAAAAGAAGAGTGATAAAAGTCATAATTAAATAATCAGAATGGAAAAATCAGACTAACTGGTTCAAAGTTAAGAGATCTCACTGGCATGAACTGAAGAACTAGAAGAAATGAATACATAAGATCAAAGAAACGTTTGAATAATTTTTAAGATGTATTTTTTATTGGAAAATCAGATATACACAGAGGAGAAAAGACAGAGAGGAGGATCCTCTGGCCGCTGATTCACTTCCCAAGTGACTGCAACAACTGGAGATGCACCAATCCAAAGCCAGAAGCCTGGAGCCTCTTCCGGGTATTCCACATGAGTGCAGGGTCCCAAGGCCTTGGGCCGTCCTTGAGTGCTTTCCCAGGCCACAAGCAGGGAGCTGGATGGGAAGTAGGACCTCCTGGATTTGAACCAGCGCCCATATGAGATCCTAGAGCGTGCAAGTTGAGTGCTTCAGCCCCTAGGCTACCATGCCGGGCCCCTCTAAATTCTAAGCAAGTGATTCCTCAAACCAACAAAAATAGTTCTGCAAATCTTTACAATGTAAAATTTTTAAAAATATGTAAACATCACATAAGTATATTTTAGTTAAACATACGAAATCCCGAAACAATATATTACAAGAGGAAGCACTATTAAATCACAGCACATTATAATAACACAATAAAATGTCTGACTGTACATTTGCAAGACACATGGTGGTTGGCAAATTATGTCTTTAGTTATTGATATGCAGGGACCAAATCAAATAGAAATTTACTGTGGGTCAAAATAGCTCTGAAAATATAATTCATTGTCATCAGATGAACACCAAAAAAGGGAAAATATATATTCAGAATTTCCTGATAAGAACGACAACAACAACAAATATAAATATAAACTCTACAGAAAAACAGCACAATCAGCAAGAAAAAAAAAACACAAGAATGTATATATTATCATTTATTGTTAAATGATTACTCTTTAGCAACAGAAAAATGACATTACTACTTGAAATTACTGCTTGAGCTGGAATTTGTGGCATAAATCAAAGACAATCTGGAATTATAAAAAAAAAACACAAGCTTATCTATAGCACCTGTTTTTAATTGATTTATTTGACAGTTATTCTGTGGAATACTATTCAGCCTTTAAAAATACATTAAAAATAATGAAATTTTACCATTTGCAACAAAATGGTCCTAACTAGAAACCATTATGCTCAATGAAATGAGTCTATTCCAAAATGATTAATATCATATGTTCTCTCTGACACAGGGCAGCCTTCATGTGAAACACAGAGTCAACAGATACATAGGTATACTTGCATGTCGATGCAGTCATCCAGAGGGACCGTATAATAGAGACAACAGACTATCCTAATGAGATGTGAAGATATGTTTCAGTATGCATCTCTACATGCAAATCAAAGAAGGACTCCCAATGAAACTGTTAAATCTGGCTTGACAACAGGATGCTGGACTCTGCTATTGTCCGTATCTACAATGTCAGGACTACAATATAGTAAAATGATGAACTTAAATAGCAGAATGATGAACTTATGACTGTTTTTGAAGGATTATACTGTTGTAATAATATAGGGTAAATCAGTGGGAGAGAAGTTTTGTGGAAGAAGGGGAAATCCCAGAGCCTATGGAAGTATATCATAAAATAATTTAAAAAATACAATGTTTTTAAAAACAAAAAATAATAACTGCCTCTTCTCACAATAATATTCTGATAGAATAATTAAACAAATTCACTCAATAATTTAATAATCATTTATCAAGTACTGGGCACTCATAGGAGCACCTGATGTTCTAAAAGCAAATCAAACCTCCATGGCCCTTGCCACAGAGGAGGATGCACCTACAGAAGTAAGATGAACAGGCATATATGCTATGATATGGAGAAAAAAAAAAGAATGATGCTTGGCTAATTATATAACAGAAATTTCAGAGAAATTTACACCAGGTGTGTAATCAAAATAATGGAAGGATTGAAACACTGCACTTTAAGAAGGGAGTAAAAAGTTTTACTACATTTTTTAAAGACTTATATATATATATTTTATTGGGTAGTCAGATCAGATTTACAGAAATGAGAGACAGAAAGATCTTCCATCCACTGGTTCACTCCCAAATGGCTGCAATGGTCCAATCTTGACCATTTCAAAGCCAGGAACCAGGAGCTTCTTCCAGGTCTCACACATGGATGTAGGAGCCAAATTGAGGATATCCTCCACTGCTTTCAGGCCAAAAGAAGGAAGCTGGGCTGGAAATGGAGTAAGTCAGGGCTCAAACTGTACGGTACCCATACGAGATTCTGCCACTTGCAAGATGAGGATTTAGCTGTTGAGCCATCATGCCATACCTATCTTACCACAGTTTTGCAACAGTCCTACTTGGGGTTGGCATTTGGCAGAGCAGTTAAATCACTATTTGGTCTGGCTGCATTTCTGATTCCTGTCTTTAGGCTGGCCCAGCACTGGCTGTCAGGGTACTGGAGAAAGGAATATTCAGAGAGGAGAGAACTGTGGTTCTACTTCACTATCAGATAAAATGAAAATAAGCATTTAAAAAAAATTAGGCAGTTTTCTCCCATATCTAAGCCAGATCTGTATGGAGACTGGTTTTAAGAGATGATTCTAAAAAATATATTTCAGTACTGACTTCTCCAAAGCCTACAATTATTTACTATTAAGATCCAAAGTATTTGCTATATTATAAATGCCAAACAATATTGGAATTACATACTTTAGATCTGACAATGTTGAGAATACCTCCTCCTAGACTCAGCATTTACAGCTGGCCCTCATCCCCAGCTGGCCCTCATCCCTGATTGGCTGGTGCCTTTTAGTCTTCATTTCAGGGTTCATATTCTCCTGACATGCAATCTTCCCAGTAGTGTCCACTATCAACTCGGGATATGTTACATGATCCCAGTGCATGCCTGAAACCACATTTTGTGCAGAAAGCTATCATTTTATAGAGTTTCTATCCTGACAAAGCACTGTCACCCACTGGGGACTGAAATTGTGGCAGTCAGAGGTGTGACAACAAAACTAGCATGGGTTTCTTTTTCCTTTCCCACACTTTGCAGGGATAGAAAATTTGTTTCTATTGTATATCTTAGCAACCTCAACACATGGTTTTTTTTTTTTTTCCTGTAAGTAGAGAACTTTCACCTTCTCATTTCCAGACAGCACTTTGCAGCTTCTCTTTGCCATACTGCTTCAACTCTACTCCCTCCTGTTCTGTGGGAACTTTACTAAGTAAAATAATGGTTACTTGACTACAATCACTGTCAGGACCTGTCTTGAATCTGATAGCTAACAGCCTGACTGCAAAATGACTAATGTGCAGGTGTTGCATATAGCATGGATATGCTGCACAAAGGGTGATTCTCACGCTGGGAAAGAGAGATGGCATAAGATTTCAGTGTGCTCCTCAGCACTGTGTGAATTTAAAAACCTGTGAATCATTTATTTTCTGAATTTTTATTTAAGAATTTCAGACTATGCCTGGCCACATGTAAGTAAACCTGAGGGGAAAATGGCTGTTGAGACAGGCAACTCCATGTTAATGGCAACTTACTTTTGGATGTTAATGATGACGATGTGTGTATGTGTAATATTACCATATTACTATTATATTACCATATGATTAGCATTAATATTACTATATAATTGGTAACTTGCTTTCAAATGATGACAGAATGTGTGCATGTGTCTCATTAATTCATAACAAAAATTGTATTAAATTCTTTTATTTATTTGAAAGATCAGCACAGAGAACGACATGCAGAGATTATCCATTTGATTGCTCATTTTCTACATGTCTGAAACAAAAAGGGTTGCCCGGGGGGCAAACTCAGGAATTGGGATTCCATTCAGTTGGGAAGATAGGGATCTATATAGTTGAGCCATTGTCTGCTGCCTCCCAGGTGCCCGTTATCAGGGAGTTGGATATGAATCAGAAATGTGGCTGGAAGTCAGTTCCATGGTATAGGTGCATTCAAGCTTGCGTGTTTCTTGTTTGCTTGCTTAAAATTTATATTGGAAAGCAGATTTTGCAGATATAGAAAGATCTTCCATCTTGGTTGGTTCACTCCTAAAGTGGCTGCAAGGGCTGGAGCTGAGCCAGGAGCCAGGAGTTTCTTCCAGGTCTCCCGTGGGCATGTAGGGTCCCAAGGCTTTGGGCCATTGTCTACTGATTTCCCAGGCCACACGCACAGAGCTTGATGGAAAGCGGAGCAGCCAGGACACAAACCTGTGCCTGTATAGGATACTGACATGTGCAATGTGAGGATTGAGCCACTCTGTCATTGTGCTGAGCATCCTAACTGTCATTTAAGTTAGTGAGCCACAGTGTCTGCCTTATCCAGAGGATTTTTAATAGACATTTGTTCAGAGAAACTGAATATGGAAAAATTTGTCTGAGTATAATACTCATGTCCAAACTAATTCTCAGTATTTCCACAAACACTTCCACAGTACACAACCATTCAGGAAAAGGTGTGATGGCATTATGAATATTAATCACCATTTCAATTAACGAATTGTAATGCCAACTGAAATATTCTTTTAACAGAGTATCAGTTATGTCCTAGGCTCAGGGGACAAGAGATGATTTCTTTAGTCCTGTCTATAAAAGGGAGATCCTAGATGCAGCATGTTCGCCTAGTGCCTAAATTCTTGCCTTCCATATGCCAGGATCCCATAGGTGCGGTGGTTTGTATCCCCAGCTGCTCCACTTCTCTTCCAGAAGATCTTTCTGTCTCTCCTCTCTGTAAATGTGACTTTCTGATAAAAATAAATCCTTAAAAAAAGGAGATCATGCAACACAGAATCAAAATAGTCACACTTGAAAACTAAGAGGATGTATTCACCATTCACCATGCCATTTTTTATCATCAATAGATTATAAGAGCTTGGAAGAACGAGGAAAGGGAACCTACTGTGAGAAAAGCGTGGTGGATTGTCATTGACATCGGTCAATGTGATGTTGACAGTGGTTGATCCTGAAAGTCCTCCCACTTGTCCAGCCATGTCCTTGGCCTGAATGACCACTGAGTAGTGTTCTCTGGCTTCTCTGTCCATGTTGCTTAAGGCAGTTCTAATAACTCCTGTAACATAAGATTTTTTGAACCTTAGTTATATATTAAATAAGTAATAACACAGGTTTCTAAAGAGCAAACTTGAGAGAATGCTGCCATTTTGAGAAAAAGTATACACTTAACATGATTAAAACTCTCCAGTCATGTATAACCCCAAGGCCCAAACCATTCTACCAATGACAGATTACAATTCTCCTCCATCTGCATTCCAAGGGGGAAAAGTCCTCCAGGGCCATTTTAGCCTCTTGAGCTTGTTCCTTCTTCATAGGAACCTGAACATTTAACTTGTGCTTCCCAAGTGTCAGCTAAAATGGCCACATTGGTTTGAGTAGATGTTGGTGTTCCTCTTTACACGACGATTTACATGGTTTCCCAGCAGTATTGTCAAAGTTCAATCATGGGAGATGTTGGAGGCGAGTGAACACTCTAACAGAGGTTACAGACAGGAGGCATTTTAGCATGAATCAACACAGAGAAATTAACTGTCTGTCAAAAATAGCTCGAACAAGAACCAGGTATAATGTCTTATGAACAGTGAAGTACAGGATTGATCCTGGAGATCCAGTGGAGAACATCATACTCATAACTCTTAGGGGATAGTTAATGCATATTTTCATGATTGACGATTGTATTTAATAAAGAGATATAAAATGTTACATACAACTCAGGGCTATGCATACATAAATACCACATCTTCTAAACATAAATTGGTAATCTATAAATTAGATTCTTCAGAAGGAAAGCTAAAGACTCATTTGCCGGAAGAATAGGCTTAGCTAAATCCTATCAATTGCAACATCAATTTTATAACATTCTCATAATACACATCATATAAACACATTTATGTGCATTTCTATTTCTAGGAGGGCAGCTCAGAAATTTCACTGAAAATGTGTAATGGAAAGAAACATTTTCACCAAGTAAGTGTATCTTTTAGTTCTATCCTCACACACTGTATTTACACCTGCATATTTATTTATATATCAGTGCAAATGTCTGCAAAGATGCACACATACATCACACAAAGATGCAGACCAACATCAGCTGTACTCTATGCATCAGCTATTTATTCATATATTTTTCATATTAAGAAACATACTTAGACTACGTCAACTTTCAGAAAGCCTTCAAGGACTTCACTCAAACCCACACTGGAGGGATCAGCACTGTGAAACATTGTGTTAAGCCACCATCACCTGCAACAACAGCATCTTATAAGGATGTCGGTTCAATTCCTGGCTGCTCTGTTTGCAGATTTACCTGTTAAAGCAACAGAAGATGGCCCAAGTGCTGAGCCCCCGAGCCTGTATGGGAGACCAAATGAAGCTCCTGGCTTTAGTGTCCCCAACCCTGAATATTGCAGATATATGAGTAGTGAACTAGCAGCATTAAGATCCTTTTCTTTTCCTATTTCGTAATCTGCGTGTTTGTAACTCTGCCTTTCAAATAAATAAATTGTAATTCAAAAATTCACACTTGATTACTCATTACTGAAATTCAATGGAAGATGTCAATTTTAACTACTAACATGAAGTTCATGAAATCATTTTACAGACAATTACTTGATGTAAGAGAAAAAGTGGAGTTTCATACCCAAAGTTAAAAGCTAGCTTTTTAAAAATGAAAAGGACTGATGAATCCAGAAATCAAACCACTGTGGTTTTTATTGAACTGATTGGCTGTGTAGTGACTTTGAGAGAGAGCCTCAGGCAGCAGAAAATAGTTCTCAGAAATTTCAAACATTGGGAACATATAATTGAGGGAGATCAGGAAACTTTCCTGAAGCTAAACAGAAAAGAAAATTACTCTTATCAAATGAAATTATAATAATATGATAATAAATGATTCATCTAATTCATGCATATGAAAAAGCCTCAAGCACTCTGGTTAAGAAGAACAATGTTTTATCTCATATGAAAATTACCTAGGAAGGAATGGAACTGATGCAGCAATGAACAAGCAAAGATTTATGAAAATATTTTAATAAAGGATGTACCTTTCCTAGATGGAAAAGCAAACCGAGGCACTGCCTGAAAAGATGCAGAACGTGTCACTGGTGGGGAGAAGTATGAGATGGCTATGGAGGATAATGATTTAACCAAATTGCATCCTCCAAAAACACATATCCACAGTGGGCATTGTTGTGCAGCATGTCAGCCTGCAGGCCCTCCATCCTTGTCAGAGGGCCAGGCCTGAGTCTCATGTTCCACTACAGCACACACTGCAGCACAGCAGGCAATGGCCCAGATGCCTGAGTCCTTGAGAGTCCTATGAAAGCTGAGATCTTAACTTAAGCCTGGCTTTGTCCATGTTACTGGAAGTATCTGAGGAAAGAATCCATGGGAGACATTCTCTCTCTCTCTCTCTCTCTCACATGGTACACATTCAAGCCTGGGGGGTGTCACACATCTCCTTTCCCCTCCTCACTCCTTATATCTTCCTGCTATTTGTCCCCAAATTATTACAATGGTGTAGTGAACCATTTCACCATTACAAGATTAACTTTAACAATTATTATTATTTTTTTAATTTCAAGCAGAGAGAGGGACATTTTCCATCCACTGTTTTACTCTCCAAGTAGCCACAAAGACAGGAGCTGAGCAAATCCAAAGCCAAGAGACAGGGGCTTGTTCTGGGTCTCCCACATGGATAGAGGGGTCCTGAGCACTTGAGCCATCCTCCACCACCTTCCCAGGCTGTGAGCTGGGAGCTGGAGTAGAAGTAGAGCAGCTAGAACTAGAATCGGCTCCCTTATAGGATACTGGTGGTGCAGGGCAGAAGATGAACCTGTGAACCACAACACTGGCTCCACAAGCTGAAGTTACAGAAATATAAATGTGTAAAGACATGGTAAGTATAGGACAAAGGAAAAAATAAAATTATGTATTATATAATTAAAATTAATAATGCGATGTAGCCAGCATGGTGGCTCAACCGGCTAATATTCTGCCTATAGCACCAACATCCAGTATGGGTGCTGGTTATAACCTCAGTTGCTCCTCTTCTACTTCAGCTCCCTGTTTATATGGAAGAGCAGCAAAAGGTGGCTCAGGTTCTGAGGCCTCTTCACCCATGTGGGAGACCTGAGCTGACTCTTGGTCCCCAGCTTCAGATAAGCTCAGCTCTGTGCATTGTGGCCATTTGGGAATGGAGGAGCAGATAGAAGATCTTTATTTTTCTCTCTAATTCACTATGTAAATCTGCTTTTAAACAATAAACACATTTTTGAAAAGTATTAATAATGGGAATCCTATTATTCAAGAGCAAAGGTGCATGCTGTGTACCTTCATTATTTCCCAGTACTCTAATCTTCCAGATAGATAAATACAGACTCTATACCCAACTGCTTCAACCCTCTAATGGCTACAAATGTCAAGACTGAGCCAGGCAGAAGCCCGGGTGACAGGAACTTCATTTGGATCTCCCACATGAGCTGTAGTGGCCAAGAAGTTGAGTCATCTCTCCTGTGTGACTAGGTGGATTAACGGAAAGCCACCTCGGAAGCAGCACTGCCAGGACAAGAACTCTGTGTAGGTTGTCAGCATATCTGTGCAGACTGGAAAAGCAACTAAGGGCAAACATTGAAGTTCAGTGGAGGTAAGCAACTATTACTGTGCTAATTAATTATTGTAAAGGCTCAGAACTAAAATCAGCCAGTTGGCCTTCTGGAAACCCAAGAATGATTCAGCCATTCTCTGAAAGCATGAGCATCAGGAGACTGACAGTGACGGTGGAGATCTCATTCTGAGAGCAAGAGAGAATCAAGGGCCCAGCTCAAGCAACTAGGGTGAAGCAAGAGAAGATACTCCCTTTTCTAAGCTCCCAACCCTGGTGTGGCTACTGTTTCCCTTCACTGGAGAAGGTGACTTTACTAATTAAAATGATGATCTTCTCTGGAAACAAGGTTACAGATATACCTAAAAATGATACTTAGCCAACATCTGAAAACCCTGATTCAGTCTGACTGACACCTGACATTAACTATCACTTAGACCTGTACCAAGTGTGTGTTTGACAAACTTATCCCTGTAGACTGGAACCTGCTATCTTCTTCTCTTGACGGCGTCTTCTGTACGGCACAAGTTTCCAATGAATAAAGTCTGGCTTATGGATGTATTTATGGAGCGTGACATTGCCATTGTATCAGAATCATCACCAGGACCAGTATTGTTGTACATTGAATTAATTTGTTGCATAGATCTAAAGTGCTGGAAAGTACTGGTTTGAATGCTGGCTAATCTGCTTCCAGTCCAGGCCCCGTATAATGCGCCTTTAGGAGCAGTGGAAGATTGTCCAAGTACTTCGCCAACAACACGAAAGAAAGAGATGAAATTCCAGATCCCTTGCTTCAGCCTATCCCGGCCCTCGCTGTTGCACCCATTTAGGAAGTAATACAATGAATGTAAAATTTTGTTCTCTGTTTCTGTCATCCTGGTTTCAAATAAAAACAAATAAATATTTTTAAATGTCACCATGATATATCCTAATTTTTTTCCCACAGAAGTTTGATAGTGTTGGGAAGAAATGCAAGAGTTATATAAAACTGTATGCAGAGGTCATTAGAGATCAATATTCACCAGCCTGACCAACTTTATAAAGAAATTTTTAAATTGACACTAAAAAAATTGAATAATAACATTGGAAATACATTATGCATAAATGAATGCAAATTTCACTTGACTCTGTCTTACAAGGGTAAAGCAAGGAAAATGTCTTTATCATGTCAAAACCTTTCACTGCAGAAATGCCCTACTGTGCTGCCAATCAGCAGCAAGCAGCTGTAATGAAGTCAATGGCTGTATTCCACAGATGTGGAAAAAAAAATAATTGACAGTGGAGAAGTTCTAGGAGTAGTACAACTATCTTATTTTCACTTATTTAAATATTGTATATATAAGAAAAACAGATACTGATATGGTTAATTGCTTGTGCCTAATCTGGTAGTAGTTATATCTGCGCAAGAATTTTAAGAGGGCCCAGCACAATGGCTCAAGGGTTCAATGGCTATG